CGGTTTTTAAAATCCGATACGATAATTTGTTGCTAAATAAACAATAAGTTTTGCAAAAGTCATCGTACGTCTTTGATATTGCACAAATAGTTGGCTTTTATAGTCCTTAAAATGTGATTAAAATTTCAGACCGATTCATCCAATAGTTTTTTCAAAATTCTAAATGTTTATCCCAGATGCATTATTTTTGCAAAACCTTGACACGCAAAATTACCAAGATATTTTAATTCTGCGGGTGTCATATGAAAAAGAAACACTTCTTATATTGGAAGAAATTATTTTATTGAAAAAAATTGTTTTTTACCACTGCAAAAACGTACCACAAAAACACTGTCATTCGCTAGTATACTAGTCTCGAATAAAAATTATTTGTTCATTAATCATTATTGATGTAATACTGTACCTAATATTCTCTGAATTATCTCTCTCTCTCTGTCTCTCTCTCTCTAAATTCCGTACAAGTCCTATATCTAAAAAGAGTAAATTTATGCATTTTTACCTATTTAAAACTATTTAATACTATTTTACAGATTTTGGTGTTTTTCTTTCCAGATTAATTTAAGTGATTTAGCACGTTTTGACCCTTTTTTAGTTTTTCCTAAGCTTTCCGGCATTGCGAAATAAACACGCAATAAATAATAAACACAGTAAATATAGTTCACAACACAAAGGTCACTAATAATAATAATAACTAATATATAATAATAACTAATTATTAAAAAAGTAATCAGTACAATACACAACTCGCACACTAGAATAATATTTACGATGTCAAACGACTCAGGACACATCAATATCATAAATGAAATAAAAATGAAATAACCAAACTTCATAAAAACACGGTTCCCGTTTTTTGTGCAAATTGTTTGGCGTTTTTTTAAATTTCTTATTGCCGATGCCGTGTACGGGGACATCTATAATGACATGTTTGCATTATTTAATGTATGCTAATCAGTACCATCTACTGGCGAATGGCTAGATTTTATTAATGGAGAGTTACCGACGAGTAGATTGTCGTGTGAAAATTGGGTTCTCAAATTTATGCAAGAAATTAGGAAATGGGCATCCAATCGCCATCTAAGAAGTGTTACGACTTTAGCTCTCGTAATCCTGCTCTTAACAAACACCATCAAGAATAATGCTGTGCGAAGATTAGTTGTTAAAGAAGATGT